CTTTTCTTTATCTACCGGGTCCATTTCTACCTGCCAGTATCCAGACTTCAAGTCCAAAGTAGAAAATAATTTACTTCCAGCCAATGTGTCTAATGTGTCATCGATCCGAGGCAGAGGATAACTATCTTTCTTGGTAACGTTGTTCAGCAAACGGTAATCCACACAGAACCTCGTTGTTCCGTCTTTCTTCTTAACCAGGACCACCGGAGAGACCCATGGGCTCGTAGAAGGTTCTATCACCCCGTCTTTCTTCATTTCCTGAACAATCGTTTCAGCTTCCTCTCTTTTCGCCTGTGGTAATCGTCGAGCTGTTTGACGAATTGGCTTAGCATTACCAGTATCAATTTTATGCTTAACAACGGTAGTTCTTCCCGTCTTTCCTCCTTTCGGTACGAAAATATCACGATACTGCCGAAGAAATTCCCTTAATTTCCTTTTCTCAATCTGATTCAGAGACTGTCCAGCAACCGCAACCATTTGATCAAATTTATCGTTGGAATTATCAGACGTTGTCGTCTGACGGATTATGGATGTGACAGGTACACAAGTTCCTACTTTTGTCTCTTTCTTGATGGTCACTGGGTAGTCATTGACATTAATAAGTCTCACAGGAATTTCTTTAGCCGAAGTCACTAATTCTTTTCCAATTATGATTCCACGGCCAACTTCGTCGTCATGATTCCAAGGCTCCATCATAACAGGTGTTCCTTCGTCCACAATTCCCTGTAGCCGCGCTACTATTATCGTTTCACTTCTCGCAGGCACGACTGTATCTTCTTTAACGGCTGCTTGCATAGTGTTGTCATCATGTGGATGGAGAAATACCTCCTCGTTACCAACTTTGATTACCTTATTCTTAAAATCCAATTGGAATCCATGCGTATTCATTACGTCCATTCCTAATATAACATCCTCTTCGATGTCAGCAACTATAACAGTATGGACGAACTTTTCTGCTCCAATTCCTAATTGTACCTGGATTTCTCCATGAATGTTGGCATTTTCACCTGTGGCGGTCCGAAGTCGCAACCTCGTTGGTAACAGTTTCTTTCGGCTGTTTATAACTGTCGGGCGTATAATGGTTCTGGTCGCTCCAGTATCCACCAACAACGTATGCTTTTTACCATTTATTTCTCCATCTACATATACACTATCTTCACGACATTTCAAAGAAGCTATTAGTATCAGAGGGTCTTTGGTAAAGTTCTGGGTCGAAGCTGCTCCCCTAAGGCCGACGCGTTCTGGTTTTGTCTTCGGTCTTATGGTCTTCGTTTTCTTGTGTGTCATGCTTTTTATCATATTAAAGAGCTGGTCAAGTTTATCTTCATCTCCTTCCTCTTTTACAGTCCTAACTTTGCTATACCCGCCAGAGGCCTGCGTAGCTGACTCGTATTCGAGGGCGGCAGATAAGACATCCATCAGCGTCTTGTGACGAGCTAATCGTAGTGTTCTTTGCATCTCATGATCACGAAGACCATCAATAAACGTTTGAACGGCCAACTTTTCCATCATGTCTTCGGGAGCTGTTGGATAAGCATATCGCACTAATCTGGCGATATCTACTTCATATTCTTGAAGAGCCTCATCTTTCTTTTGTCTTCGATTTTTGAGCTGCGACTGATATACATGCTCCAAGTGTTCGTGGCCATATCGCATATTTAACCTCTTCTTCAGTTGTTCGAAATCATCCGTCTCCTCTACGGCTATGGTCTGGAGCACATCTAAGGCATCTCCTCGAAGAGCGATAGTCAGGTTTACAGCCTTTTCTTTTTCAGACCATCCATTCGCTCTTGCAGCTGATTCGAACTGTTTCATGTAGTTGTTCCATGATGATTTTCCGTCGAAAGTTGGGACTTTGACATGAACGGAACTTCCACTTCCTTCAAATTTCGGCCGTGTTTCCAACTTACATTTTGTCTCGTCTTCTTTTATCTCTACCGGATCTAAAGCTACCGTATTAATTGGTGGTAGCACTCTCGTGTTAGTTATCATGGTCTCTAACTGTTTGATTTTCTCTTCTACTTTTTCGAATGTTTTGGAAACTTCTTCAAATTTCTCATTATTCTTTTTCGAAGTTTCTTCCATCATTTGAGAAACATTTTCAAATTTCTCGTCGAATCTTTTTGACACATTTTCGAGTTTCTCGTCGTTTTGTCTAGCTACTTCTTTAATAATTTGAGACGTTTCATTGAATCTTTCATCATTTTTTTTAGAACTCTCTTCGATCTTTTGAGACGTTTCATCGAATCTTTTGGAAACATTCTCATCATTTTTTCTAGAACTCTCTTCGATCATTTGTGAGACATTCTCAAATTTTCCATCGATTATTTTAGTTAAAACGGCTTCTTCTGCTGATTGAAACTGGAATGTCTCTGGGTCATCTCCATTCTTGTTAAGAATATTCTTCAGTCGCTCTTGGAGGATCTTCTTGGACCCGCTGCAGTCTTCATCGCGTTCTTCTAATTGCTCACGCAACTGTTTTACCGAGAGTTGTACTAGCAGCATCTTTGTACAGGCACACACGTACTTTTATAAATGTTCTTTTGTACAAAGGTCACTACCGAACTACGCGGATGTTCCCGACGAACAATACTTTTCAAAAGTTTTAAAGTCTTTTTCAAAAGTCACTGCTGGATTTATGTTGAACTCCACACCTGACACCAAATGTTGTATATTTATATAGTTCTAATTTATTTGTCTTTATTCTAATTTATTGTCTATATTCTAATTTATTAAAACTCACGATAACTAATTACGAATTTATTAGTCTTTATTAATCCTAATTTATATTACAAATAATTTATTTATGTTTCGTTACATTTAAATATCGCGGTTCCCGAGCTTCTTATGACTAAGTTCTTCAATAAAATTTCGTCTTTATATATAAAGAAACTTCCGCTATCTGGAAAGTTCGGTGACCTACTTTTGCAAAGAACGCCATGCAATATACTGGTTTTTTCGGTGAAGGCAATTAACCGCTGAGACTAGTTCTTTTTCAACTTCGAGTCGTGGATGACTCACTAAAATTAGGGTCTAGATATTTCTGTAAACAACTGGTATCGAAGCTCAGGTAGATTTTGACCTACAAATTACGAGAATCAATAAAAAAGGATTAGTCATAAAATATTTACAGTTCTATATGCCATAACATTTAAAATCGTAACAATACAAAAGAAAAAAAAATGAGAATTGGACAAGCTAGAGCAACATTTAATAATATGAGAAAAGTATTATTCAGTAGAGACCTTAGTTTGCAACTCAAAATAAGAATATTACGTTCATCTGTGTTTTCGGTGCTGCTGTATGGGGTAGAGGTCTGGACCTTAAAGAAAGAGGTGAGCGATCGACTTGAAGCATTCGAGATGTGGACCTACCAAAGAATATTAAACATAAGTTGGGTAGACCGAATAACAAATGTTGTGGTCCTCAGAAAGATGACAAAGGAAATGGAAATCATGAATACGATAAGCTAAGAAAGTTACAATATCTCGGCCACGTTATGAGAGGGAATAAATATGTGTTGCTACAAACCATAATACAGGGAAAAATACAGGGAAAACGAAGTATTGGAAGAAGACGCATCTCCTGGCTCAACAATCTGAGAAAGTGATATAATTGCAGTTCCATCGACTTGTTCAGAGCTGAAATCTCAAAAGTGAAAATAGTTGTGATGATTACCAACCTCCTTAGAGGAGACGGTACCTAGAGAAGAAGAAGGACAAACAAGAACAGCAATCCGACAACTTAACTCAGTATGGTGGGATAGACGTCTAAATATGAAGACAAAAACACAGATTTATAAAACATTAGTATGAAGTATTATGACATATGGGGCTGAAAATTGGATTATAAACAAGAAAAACAGCATTAAGATAGTAGCAACTGAGATGGAATGCCTGCAAAGATGCTACAGAGTAACAAGAATGGATAGAAAAAGTAATGACGAAATAAAGCAAAGAATATCAATAGAAACAGACATACTAACATATATAGAACAAAAAAAACTAAAGTGGTATGGACATGTAAAAAGAACTAGCGACAGCAGATGGATAAAGAGAATAACCGAATAGAGCCGCATAGGAAGGAGGAAAAGAGGACGACCCCGAAGATCCTGGAGGAACGAAGTAGACGACGCCATGAGTAAGAGAGACCAAAACAATGGGGAATGGGACAACAGAGGGAGAGGGAAACGGTTGAGCGAGGGAAGGTAGTGAATATTGTAGAATCCCTGAATATATATGTTACAACCGTACCCAGTCTACCCTACGTTTAGAAAAAAAAAACCGAAGGGGACACAAACTCCGATGAGTCGTAAATATATTGGACTGTTGCGAAAAATAGAAAATGATAACATTTTCAAAATCAGAAAAATAATAACAAACTACAGATGAAAGAAGAAATTTTTAAGTATAATAATAATTGAAATTTAATATCGATTTATAAAATTTTGTACTATTTTGGTGAAGGCGCTGTACTAGTTTACTCTTAATGAGAAGGGAATGTCTTCATTAAACATTAATTGTGGTGATAGGGGCGTTATACGGTTAAGCCATCGTTTCCTCCACTCCAGTTTCCCCCTAACATCAGGTCAAAGTCGCTTCCACAGACCCACTAGCGATATAATTTGAAAGGATTACAGTGTCAACGGACTGAAGATAAGTTTCCAAATGTTGTGTACGGACGCAGATAAACAGTTTTTATGTGAGTGAAATTCTGTGACAGTAGATCAGGTCAGTTTATTCGCTCTGGTAGTTAACACAATAGCAAATAAAATAAAACAATTGTTTATTGTGGCCTTCAATGGCATGTACTCGTAACGATTATTCCATTTTATATAACATTCCGAGAAAGTGGTTTACTATATCGAAGCATATTTTTAATAAGTGTACTATTTTACTGATATAAACCACTTTTCCACTAGGCCGCACTACGCAACCCATTCCCACAGCCGACACACAATGATAACAACATTGTGAAAGAAAAACTACTCATCAGCTGTTAGTTGGCAGTCGGCTACCACGTGTGTTAAGTGATGTCTCGCTGTGTGTGTTCTTTACGTTGTGTTAAGGTGTAGCGAATGTTTAGATTTTGATTCGGTTTAAAATGCCAGTCCGGCCTGAAAATGATACCGCAACAGAGGTCTCTATACCTCTGTTGGTTAAGACTGGAAACTTGTTGCCAGCTAAGACTGAAGATGCCAATCAGAAATCCTCAACTAATAATGTTAAGAGAAACAAAAGTAAGTATTCAATATGCGATTTAATTCATCGAGTCTTTGTAACGAGAAAGTACCTATTTGTATAAAAAAGGGGAATTTAATAAAGAACTAAACAATACAAAAACTAAATAAGTCGTTTTGTATGAGTTTTTCTGAATGACATTTCTAAACGGTTGTTTTTGTAGTTATTAAATTATTAATTTTTATTAAAAAGTTACTTTACGTCTACTTACGTTACTTTATTGACTAAAATTTGAGCCATGGATTATTATTTATGATCTGTAAAACTAAGTATATTATTGATGTTTTTATTGGTACTAAAAATATTTAAACTCATAGATAACACAAATGATGTCTAGGTATTTCAAAATTTAAATTTCTAATAATTTCGTACACACGATTTTGACTACTTACTTATTACATAAAAATATATTTTAGAACATTGTATATTTTAAGTGGTTATTTTATTATATAATGAGGGTATTCATGTATTAACTATGAATTATATTATATATACTTAGTTTACTTTTTATCTTCTCACTTGTGTAGACCAACTATAGATCATAATTTTTTATTTGAGTCTATGTCTAACCGATTACAGTTAGTCTTAGGTACGTGTGATTTACCTACAGTTTATCTACTACCTGTTAGGGATTTAAGGTCTGAAACTAAACCTGTAATATAAATACAGCTTGTTACAGACAAAAAAAACTCGTATACTTACTTGAATTTTTTATAGTTCTCTGCAATTTTTAAAGATATAATGGACAAAACGTTTTAGAAAAACATATTTCAAAATCACAATTTAAAATAAATCATTTCATTCGTTGTAATTTGCACTCAACGCTATAAGTACACTTACCTCAGTAAATGAAGAAAAAAAGCTGAAAAAAATCTTATACAGGTATTTGAAAATTTCTTTCTAAAAGGTGTATGAGGGGCAGCTAATAAAAAATCCGTGAATACAGCTGATTTTTTTGTTTTTTTTTAACAATCTTTACAAGTTGAGCAGAGTGTAGTAGGATCTGGTTACCCATATCCCATATTGAAAGAGGAAGTTATTAAAAAGAGTAAGTCAGTAACATATGGAGGATAATAAATCATTTATGTTTTTTAAATAACAAACATATATTGTTCTGAAGCTATTTTCTTGTGGCATTGTAAATTAATTACTATTTAACTGGAAATAAGCCACAATTAAAGATAAAAATACGTTTATTGACGTTTCAATTTCCACTTCGGAAATCGTTCTCAAAATACAAACAGTAAATTAAACAAATTTTGTTTTTTGTTACATAGTGAAAAATTCTTCTAATTTAATTTTATCTGACTCATTTATATTGACAATTCAGACATACATTATGCATTTTAAAGTAGACGACTTTAAAATGATATTGCCAATATTGTTGAGTTGCGCTCATGGGACGACTTTACTTATAAGATAGTTCATTCGATTACATGAAATCAACTTTAACTTGAGAATATCCGTCAGAAAAAATCATAGCATGTAATTCGTCTTTAAAAAGACAAATACATGACATGATGACAGTAAAATTCTCCTGTTAGTGATTCCATAGTAAATTATGAGGGAAAAACCAGGAAAAAAACCTCATAATACTATCCCGACATTCGTTCTTGGAGGAGAAACATTTGTTAACATTAGTTTTATTAAAAAATGACTATCCTTTATCGTTTATAAATAAGGAATTTTAAACAATCGATGGAATAGAACAGAACAACTTAGAACGAGATCCTACAGCATACACAAGGAATAATATGAGGAAAATAACAATACCGTACATAAAAGGATTATCAGAAAAACTTAAAAGGATAGGAAATAAATTCAACATTTCAACAACATTCAAAACAACAAACATGTTGAGATCTATGTTTGTAAATGTTAGAATAAGTGAACATCAATCTTATATTAAAAATAGAGAATTTGATAGATCTCAAATATGTAAACACGCATGGGATAATGAACATAGGGTTCAATGGAATAATTCAAATGTAGTCCTAAAAGAAACGGATGGTAAAAAAAGAAAAATCAAAGAAGCGGCTCTAATTATGCTAAATGAGGCCAATTGTGTCGCAAATTCCTCGGCAGAATGGAGTAGGATCTGGTTGCCAATATTGAAAGAGGAAGTTATTAATAAGAAAATACCAGTATTAGTAAGTCAGTAACATATAGAGGATACAACATTTATGTTTTTTAAATAACGTAATATATAAAATCAGAATTTTGATGTGTGTTGAAGGTAAACTAAATTCACGAACAAATACTTACAATGTCGGGATAGTATTATGAAGTTTTATTCCTGGTTTTTCCCTCATAATTTACTATGGAATCACTAACAGGAGAATTTTACTGTCATCATGTCATGTGTTTGTCTTTTTAAAGACGAATTACATGCTATGATTTTTTCTGACGGATATTCTCAAGTTAAAGTTGATTTCATGTAATCGAATGAACTATCTTATAAGTAAAGTCGTCCCAGGAGCGCAACTCAACAATATTGGCAATATCATTTTAAAGTCGTCTACTTTAAAATGCATAATGTATGTCTGAATTGTCAATATAAATGAGTCAGATAAAATTAAATTAGAAGAATTTTTCACTGAAAAAAATGAATAAACATAGGGTTCAATGGAATAATTCAAATGTAGTCCTAAAAGAAACGGCTGGTAAAAAAAGAAAAATCAAAGAAGCGGCTCAAATTATGCTAAATGAGACCAATTGTGTCGCAAATTCCTCGGCAGAATGTAGTAGGATCTGGTTACCCATATTGAAAGAGGAAGTTATTAAAAAGAAAATACCAGTATTAGTGTCAGTAACATATGGAGGATACATCATTTATGTTTTTTAAATAACAAACATATAAAATCAGAATTTGGTTTTTATCGAAGATAAACTAAATGCACGGCCAAATACTTACCATGTAATGGACGTGTACGAACTCATCACTATATAGCTCCCCATAAAATTATTAGACCCTCCGAGATATAGTAAACTGATCACCGGAATCCTTTGGAGATAGGTAAACTCATTACCGCAGATAGGTAAACTCATCACCAGCATTTTTTGACCCAAGGCGCTGGTTTCTAATGCGTCAGATTGCCTGTTACCTGTTACACTTCTCGTTCATGTGGTAATTTCTTAACGTGAGAAACTATTTTAGGCAAATTTCTTTAAAATAAATATTAATATCGAATTTACTACGGCGTGGCGTGTATTAAACGTATCTGTCAATCTAAGCGCTTTTGAGATCTGAAAATTCAGTTACATAGATTTTCGATAATGAATTTTTTAATGAAAATATTTATGAGCATGTGCTGTTTTTGTTTATATCGGAAATAGTCCCCGATTGAAAACTTATTAACTAACTAGAAATTATTTATTATACAGAATAAATCAAAATGCTTAAGTACAGTTTCCTGGCTTTTATAAACGGTCAAAGCCCACTTGATGAAATATTTTCTTGTGAAAACAGCAAATAAAAATTAAAATGACTTAAAAACTTGAAACATGTTACAAACTCTATATGGGTGTTCAAAAGATAATAAATAATATATGTATGTACTAAGAATCAATAAAAACTTTCCTAATTTTTTAAGGTGAGAAATTGAAAAAAATGGGTTTTGAATTTCATATTAATAATGAGCGAAGCATTTTAAAAATGAAACATTTTATTTGCAGTACTTTTACATGTGAAAAAATAATTTATTGAAAGCCACAAAAATATTTGGATCTTCAGCTGGTATTGCAAAACTTATTATAAGAGTACTATTGCAATTCTACACAGAAACTAGGATTATGTGTAGATATTATTTAGATATATATTATTATAAACTATGATGTGTGGTTATTTATGATGATTTTCCAATCCTGGTACTTCGAGTATTTATCAAAAATATTTAGCAAGAGAAATGTAAAGTATTTTTTAACAAACTTTAAAGTACAATATTGACATATATTTGTGTTTATTAAACTTCTAAATATGCAGGATGTTTCACTCCACCACCGTTCACGAAATACGGAAATTGTGTCACGTAAGAAAAATAGCGAAGTTCTCTAGAATTAAATGGCCCATCACCAAAAATTATTTTCTGCTATACAAGATGTTGCATGTGGCATGATTTAGGTTGTTTTTAATAGAATACCATCTTTAATATTACACTGATGGCACTTATTATTATTACCGTACTTTTATATGTATTATTACTATACTTTGGTTGCTATCTAACATCTAGCAGTTTTGTAAATATTAACTTTCCTTAAAATTTCTCTTAAAATCCAGAAAATAACCAACAATCAAACTTAATTAATTAAATGGTGTCTAATGTAAAACTGTCATTATAAATGTTCTGAATGAAGTTATAACACTGTGATCTTAACAATTTAATCACGAATTTAAAAATGTAATATCAGAAAGATTAATCTACTTAAAGCAATGAAGTAATATTATTACTTTGTCTACACGAAATATCTTGTACAGTTGACTTAAAGAACTTAATTAAGGTGATTTTTTTTTATTTTTGATCAGAATGAGACGCCACCATGGCAAAACAAATAAAAAAATGTCCAATTCGTCTACGTTGGCTCAAAACGCAATCAATGAGAATTTCACTATCCATGTTAAAGGAACAAGGGCAAATGAAGAGATATTTTTCTGTTTGCATAGTTTTAGCTAGATATCAATAGGATTTTGTGGAATTCGCAAATAAAAACCAATGAATTACATTTGATATTAATACAAATATTTTAGATTTATTCTGTCAAATTACCAAATCTTAGCGGTTTACAAGGGGTTTCTATACTTGCTATGGGGTGCCGGTAGACCAGTGATGAGTTTACCAATCTCTTGGGGTCTATTTTCAAATCCCTACTTTTATGGCGGTAATGAGTTTGTACTATGTACGAGGGTATTTATGCTAATTGGTGATGAGTCTACGTGTACCCGTCGTAATTTACTATGGAATCACTAACAGGAGAATTTTACTGTCATCATGGCATGTGTTTG